CGCGCGCGGGGTCGATGGGGCCGACGGGGCCTCTAAGGGGCTGCGCGTGGGGTTGACGCGGCCGTGAGGGGGGCCTCTAAGGGGCGGCGCGCGGGTCGCTAAGGGGCGGGTCGCGGGTCGCGGGGCCTTACGGGGCCGTTAAAGAGGGGCGCACGAGGGCGCTGGGGGGAGGCGCTCGAGGGCGCTCCGACAGTAGGGCGCACTAGGGCGCTAGTAGTCAGTCAGTAGTGGTGGGCCCTAAAAAAAATCGGTCCTAGCGGAGGACCTGCTCTGAAACCATGTTAGAAAGTACGAAACAGGAATGATTGAACTAGCAGAAAGTTGGGTACAAGTAGTGAAACCCTAAAGTGTTGTACCCCATATTGACTACCCCACTACAGCCTAAACAAGCTATAGCATATAAGTTTGACAGTATTCTCCTCCCCCGTCAGACTGGAAGCTCTTTAGCTTAACTCCCGATTCCCGTTCTGCTACTGGGAGCCAGGCAACGAAGGCTTCGAAGGCCATGTCGCGGCTTGGAAGGTTGAGATGCCAGACATAACGAGTGGCGGCGTCGATGAACGTGATGGTGTAGTTGTATGCTCCTTGACCGGGTTCGCGATTGTAAAGTATATCGCTGTAGACCTTCTCCAAAGGTGCGTACGCTGGTGCACTTGGGTTGTGATGGGAAACAAAGGGCTGATGCGGTAAGTCAGCTTCTGGGCAGGTGAAGCAAGTTCCTCGCATTCGTCGAAGTTCTCTTCCGTCGGGTAAGAGTAGTGAGTCTTTATCAAGAACGCCTGCTCGTATCATGTTGTTTAACGTCGTGTTGCTCGGATGTCCCATTCGTTTATGCCAGAGATCTTCGTCGGCGCGATGTCCGGGTGAGCGTCGGTATAAGTCGGAGTTGGAGTAGGAGCCTGCAGTGAAATTTGCGCTTCGATGGACTTCCCGTGGTGTCGGATTTAGTTGTTGCGCAGGAGTCGGTGGAGTGTCGTTGTCGATTGGGGCTGGTGCAGTTGAAGGACCCGCGATTGGTGCCGATGTTGTCTCTGCTGCTGCTGGTAATGTCTCTGTTGCTGCCGATGTTGTCTCTGCTGCTGCCGATGTTGTCTCTGCTGCTGCTGAGTGTTGAATCGTTGCTAATGCTCTTGTTCGTTCTGCCTCAGGGATGGTGTGCGAGTACCAGAAGCCTTCGGGACTGAAGTTGGGGTCGAGATCCGGTGGATGTGTCCAGGAGGTGAAGGTGACGATCCCGTCGCTGTCAGCGGGGCCAAGATCTAGGACGAAGTCGAGGACGAAAACGTTATTTTTCATGACCGCCTTCCCGATGTAGAGACCGCCCTTCCCGTGGTATAACTTGAATTCCTGTGTTGTGCTGTCTGCTTCGAGGTGGATGCCTTTCGCCATCAGCTGACTGACGCTCAGTAAGTTGTAGCCGAGTCCCTCCGCAATTAACACTTTTGACATTTGCAGTATTACGTTTGTCTCTCGTGACTGAAGTTGCACCACACCTTGTCGTCGTGTGCGCAGGTTCTGGTTGTTGGCGACGGTGATAACGACTTCGCGTTGAAGTTGGTGTTCGCGTTGAACGAAGCGTCCTGAAGAGCACATGTGCTGTCCGCAGCAACTGTCCAAGAACCACGTATCTTTCCCGGACGGCTCGCTTTGAGCGATGGCTGCATACGTCGGGTTCGGTTGAAGTGACTCGCGGCGAGGGGTGTTGTTGTCGAGTTGCTCTTCCGGTGAGTAATGTGGTGGTGACTCGGTGATGCAGGAGTCAGTCAATCTTGCCATGCAACTGACGATGTTTCTTGCTCCTTGTGCAGATTGTGTTGACGATGCCGTTGAGGACTGCAGTTGACTCGTGGGGTGCGCTTGCGTGGATGCCACTTGACTGCTTGAAGGACGAAGTTGGGGTTGCGGCGGTGTTGACTGCTGTCTATTCGGGCAGTGTATGCGAGGGTGCCCTGAAGTCTTGCAGAGATGACAGAACGGAGGTACGGGTTTTGGTTGATGCCGGTTGTTGTTGTTGTTGTAGCGCCGTTGAGTGTGAAACGCAAACTCGGGTACTGACGTTTTCTTCTTGTGCCGTTCCTCTTGCAGGTCCATGTCTTGCTGTTCAACGTGGATTTCAGCGCAGAGTGCTGCTTCAGAGATCTTCCCGTGAGCTCGGAGTATGGCGCGGGTGGAGCGCCAATTAGGACCAAGACCGCCAATGATGACTGTGACGAAGGCGTCTTCCGATATCGATCCTCCGCATCGAAGGAGTTTGTCGCGCAATTCGCGACAGCGACTGATATACGCCATTCCCTTTTCGCCTGGTTTCATTTCCACTGTTGTCAGTTGCGCCATTAACCGACTCTGGTCGACGCTGTCTGTTGCCTGATACAGATTCTTCAGGTGGTTGTACGCAAGCTCGGCGGAATTTCCGTATCCTCGGTAAGACCGAATGTTCTGCTGCTGGTTCGGTGTGACGTTGCGCAGTAGGATTGTATACGCCATCATGGATTGATACGTATACTGCTGCTTGTCGTATTGTTTTCCGTGCGTTGGATATGGCAGGGACCCGTCGAAGAAGCCAAGAATCTGCGCGCCTTCCATCATCAGCTCGAATTCGAACGACCAGGTAAAGAAGTCATTTCCGTCAAATGGTCTTGATGTCTGCAGTTTTAAGACGTGCGCAAACTGCGACTGAACTTGAAGCGCATCCAATGTCTTCTCTTGCTCAGGTGAAGGCTGCTGGCGCGGCATGAAGCTGACGGAACCACGATGGGGTTCATACGGGGCGAAGGTAGGTTGCTGTTGCTGATTTCCTCGCGCGTAGGATGAACCATCGAGGCTCATCGATGTTACATCGTTGTTGTTGTTGCTGTTGTTTGACTGCGCAGGTGCCCCTTGCTAGTGTTGTTCGTAGAAGGACATGAAGGAGAAGAACTTCTCCATCATGCTTGGGTCGAAGCCCGCAGCTTGATTTGCGGGAGTTTCAGTAGACCCAGCTGCCGGTCTTGTTGCTGTGCCCTCCTCTGTTTGTAGGCCAGAAGAAGGAGGTGGAGTAGGAGTAGTATCGGGAGAACCATTAGAGGAACTCCTTTCCTTCTGAGTAGCCATGCTTTCTGATGTTGTAGGTGTCTTGATAGTGGAATTTGTCCTGACTGCTCTCATACCATGTTGGGCTGAGAAAAGCCCTTAGGATCTTTGCAGGACTAAACTCTGAGTAGGAATAATGTAATAGCGGAAGCGTTTAGTGAGAAAGTTGTGAACCACTTTGCGCTGGTATGTGAGGGCAAAGTAGATTGATTAAAACAAAGAGATACAACCTTTTATAAGAGTACAAGGAATACGAAGAGATACAGTTAATAACCGTTTTACTATTGCTGTTGCGGTTCGATACAGTGACGACTCGGGCAACTGCTCAGTAGCGAGTCAGTTGTTTGTCCTTGCTGTCGCGCTGTACTTGTCAGGTCAAAGGTCGCTGACATTTGACTTTCGCGTAACCTCCAGCAGTTGTTCAACCTCCGAGGGTTGACTCGCTAATGCTTCGATATGTTTCGCTTCGCTTCTGACTTGGTGTTTCGACACGACAGAGGCGCTAAATCAATTGTTTCCAACATCCTAGCCTATGATACTATCTCAACATCCGCCTCGACAATTCCCAACCTCGGCGCTAGGCCCGTAGCGCACCCCATTTTCCCACATTACCGTTACCACGCTAGCTTCGCTATATATTCTTCGCTCATGCTTTCGCTCGATGGATTGATTGCTTCGATAGTGCAATTCTCACTCGCTCGTTCAATTGCACTCGTAACACAGAGAATTACCCTACGTGAACAGCAGAATCTTGTCTCAACCAGAGGTACCAACCAGGGCTCAGGTTTGGATTTGGCCTACTCACGATTGGCAGTGTAGCTTTTTCAAAAACCCTTATGGGCAGTGTGTACTTTTTCGTTACACTGATAGAGCAGTGTAACATCAGGTTTTGAAATTTTTACCCTGCATCATCAGTGTGGTTTTTTTTCAAACACTGACAGATGTTCGCGAAGTCCTAAACTATTACAGGTAACACCTAGGTTCGGTTTCGTGGCGTGCTGGCAAGGGAATCATTCCTGAGGGCGTGTGTCTTTTGGCGAAATGTGTCAAAGTTCGAACATCAACCGCTTTGCACCGTGACGAAACATCTCTCAATAGTATCGTAACGAATAGTACCTCTCTAAATGTTCGAACTTAGACAAAGTTCGAACCCCTAGTGCACACGCCCTAACAGACCAATCGGACACGTCACTGCGGCCAATGTTGGTACTGCACGGAAAAAATCCTCGGTACTTGCATGATTTTCGGAATTCACGATCTGACAAATTTCGGGGAAGAGGGGGAGGGGGGGGTCCCTGTACGCTTTTCAGTGTAATCTTCGCTAAGGGAGAATTTACCCCAAGGCATCAGTGTGGCCTACGCCGATACACTTACAGATCAGTGTAAAACTAACTCATAAAAAATTTACCCCAGCACATCAGTGTAGACCCAAAATTTCACCCTTGTAATCAGTATAGAAGGGTAAATTACACTGCAAACCTGAGCCCTGGTACCAACAAATCAACGCCACTCTAGTGGAGGGAATATTAAAATACACATGTAGACTTTGTATCTCAACATTTCACACCACCACATTCAATCAAGTGCTCCCTAGCTGTAAAAGCTCAGTTACCTAATGAAGGATCTGGCTTTCAGTTACACCAGTATTCAAAAGAAGCTGGATAGCTCAGCAAACAGAGTTGACGATTCTAAAATATACAACAAACCCTAGAAACAAAAGCGGAAGAAATGTCATAGCTGATGGGCGACGACAACTGCTAAGGTCTGGTTATACGTCTGTAAAACAAAGATGGAGAGATTTCAGGGAAATGTCCACCATGTAGCCAGAGACAATAATGAAAATAAGGCACATGCAAAGGGCGTCCGAAGGCTGGCAACGAACCTTAAGGTAGTTGATGTATGCAGCAGCGCTTTCTAGTAGCTCCGCCACGTCAGGCTCCGGACCAACCAGTGAAGACGGTATCGATTTTTGAAGCATTCTCAGACATTGCCTGCACAACAGACGACATGGTAAGTCATGCTTCTAGAGGCTAAGGTCGCCAGGACTGTTCAACAAAGTAAAAAACAAGACAACAAGCTTACTTTAGCTGCTCTCGTCTTTTGTTCCACTCTTCCGGAGACAGGTCTTCGTGATGGGCATACGGAGCTCCCTCTTCCTCTCTGTCGTCCGTAACAGTCGATCCGAATTCGTCGCTAACAGCCTGCGTCTGCATGCCGAACTGTTCCAAATCCCTCTCGGACCGCTGAGAAGCTTGTGTATGCGCAGCGTTATCTTGTACGAGGTCCATCGCTTTAGGTTATTGCGCGAATACTGACACTGAACTCACGCAGGAAGTCCATAGAGCGACACGACTGACTGAATCAGAGAATCGCAAAATGCAAATGACACAAGTAGGCAAGGTGAGAGGATGCCAAGGCGATATTGCACAATCTGAATCCAAGTGACAGGGAAGTGGTACGTATTGGCTAGCTGAGAGAGGTGAAACTGAAAGCACGACAGAAGAAAGAATGGCTAGGGTAAGACAATAGAAATCCAGTTGCCGCACGGTAAGAATTATCCCCATAAGCGCGGGAGCAAGAGATGACGCCTCATTTGAGAGATGGCGGGTGGGGGATGATTGGCTTGCACAGCATATCAACGCACGCCTGATGTTCCCTCAAGGCGGATCGGATCATATCGGGGACACCATGAATTCGCAGTGCTGTTCGGATACGATAACGAGGCGGATGTTCCCGATCCGAGGCTTGATACACCACGGGTCACCACGAATTTGCGACGAGAGAAAAAGTTGCTATACCGAGAATATGTTACAGAATTCCCCATTTTAGCTCTGTGATTTCCTCACAATATGGTCAAGGCCAGAAAATACCATGTCAGCTCAACCACAAGCACAACCATTTCACAGAGATACTGCAATATTTCAGCCAGAGGAGACTCTTTAGACGCATCCTTCCAAACCCTCATCCTTTCGAGCCCCAAGAGATTTCACATATGTCGCTCGCATGATAAACACCAATTCGAAGCCAGAAACAGCAAACAGACAGTCTAATGAGAAGCAAACCAAGGACCCAACGGCCCATTCGTCTGCGGCCCACTGGTGGAAGGCAAGCCTCCACCTGGCAGACTGCTATTGGCCGAGGCCACAGCAGGCACTCTGCTACCAGGAGCAGCAGAAGCCACCGCAGAATGATGAGTCAGCCCGCCGGCCGGATGACTCAGCGCATGGGGTGGCAGCCCATTTGCAGGATGAACAGGCCGAATGCCCATTCCCACTCCAGCAGCAGCAGCAACTCCCGCACCCATCCCAGGCCCCATGCCTGGAACCCCAGCTACAGCAGGACCGGCAACTCCTGGCCCTGCCAAGCCAGCAGCAGGCATGGGCAGAGAGGGCACGGCCCCAGCGTGAGAGGGTGTGGGACGGTTGGGAAGATAGAGAGCAGCACCAAGAGCAGGTGCGACGAGGAGAGACTGTGAGGCTGATGCCGCAGCAGAGCCTGCAGCAGCGCCCGCGTGGTCCAATGAGGGGCCGACAGCTAAGCTGTCAGCCGCCTGTTGTGGTGGTGGCGATGGCTGTTGCTGCTGTTGATGCTGCTGCTGCTGCAGGTGTGCGTGCTGCTGCATGTGTGCCTGCGAGTGCACCTGCTGCTGCTCATGCTGCTGCTGCTGTTGCTGCAGCTGCTGTTGCGGCGGCTGCTGCTGCGCTTGCGCAACTGCCTGCTGCTGCTGCTGCTGCTGCTGCTGAGGCTGCTGACCCTGCTGCTGCCTCTGCTGCTGCAGCAGCCGAACCTGCCTGAGCCCCTCGTCATGAATCCGAGCCAGAGTATCAAGCTCGGCAAGCGACAGATTCTCCAACCCAGCACCATACAGCGGCGCGTGCCGAGACATCTCCTCCTGAAGGGATGCCTCTAGGGTTTGGATATAATCCTGGTGTGCATGCAGCTTTGCCTCCATGCCATCAATGTATGCCTCGTATCGCTGCACCTGCTCCTCCTTCTCCCGCAGACCACCCTCCGTCTGCCCCACCGTCTGCGTCAGCCGCCGAACCTCCTCCTCCAGGGACTGCCGAGCCTCGTCGCGAGACACGGTTTCCGTGGCAAAGCGCTTCACCTCCTCGTCGAACCGCTTCCTCGCCTGCTCGGCGGCTTTGAGGCGCTCTGCTAAAGCGTTCTTCTCCTTCACCACTTTCTGTTGTTTTGAGAGGGGGGAAAACACGAGTGGGGGAGAGGGAGTAGGGCGGCCAGAAGAAGGGGGGAGCAAGAAGGGAGCATGACCCTTTAGTCACTTGTGAAGAACGAGTGCAAGTGAGGGGACCGGGGGTGAATGAAGGAAGGAGGGGGATGCGTGGGGGGGAAGGGGTGGGGGGAGGAAGGGCACAAGAGAGGAGGGGAAACACGGCCCTCACCTTGAGCTCCTCCCGCTTGCGTGACTTGAGCTGCGTCAGCTGCGCCTCAGTCAAGTCAGGGGGAGGGGGAGGCGAAGGGGAGGGGGGAGGCGGGGGAACCGAGGAGGGGAAGCAAGGCTCACCTTGAGCTCCTCCCGCTTGCGCGGCTTGAGCTGCGTCAGCTGCGCCTCGCTCTCCCTCAGCCGCTCGGCCAACTTGTGACACATGTCAAAAGGCAGTAAGGGTTTAGGAGAGAGGAAACACAACTCTCCTCACTCCACACAGCTCTCATCTTGAGCTCCTCCTGCTTGCGCGGCTTGAGCTGTGTGGGCTGCGCCTCAGTCAAGTAAGGGGAAGGGGGAGGCGAAGGGGAGAGGGGAGGCGGGGGAACCGAGGAAGGGAAACGCGGCTCACCTTGAGCTCCTCCCGCTTGCGCGACTTGAGCTGTGTGAGCTGCGCCTCGCTCTCCCTCAGCCGCTCCGCCAGCTGGCGCTTCTCCCCCGCCAGCTTGCTCACCGCCTCGTCCTTCTCCGCCTTGGCCCACTCCACCGCCCCCTCCATCTCCCTCACTCGCTCCACCGATTCCCTCCTCTCCCTCGCTCCTTTCTCGGCTTCGGCCTTCAGCTCAGCCTGCACAGGGAGAAAAGAGGAGTGGCATGAGGGGATCGGGGAAAAAAGGAAGAAGTGAGACTGGTCCTTCTCTGCCTTGGCCCACTCCACCGCCTCCCTCCATCTCCCTCACCCTCTCCTCCACCGCCTCCCATCTCTCCTTCGCGCCCCTTCTCAGCTTCCGCCTTCAGCTCAGCCTGCACACAGGGGGGAACGAGGGTTGGTACGGGGCAACGGAGGAAGAGAACGCATGAGCGAGCCTCGTCCTTCTCAGCCTTGGCCCACTCCATGCCTTGCGCCTCTCCCTCACCACCACCCTGCCCCCATCATTCTCACCACCATCACCCGTTCCCTACCTTGAGTTTGCCAACAGACACCTCAGCCTCGCTCAGCTTCTGCTGCAGACTTGCCATCTCCCGCCCGTGCCGCTCCACCTGCCTCTGCTTTTCAACGATACTAGAAAAACCAAAGCCGCGTGCCCCCACCACCACCACCACCCGTTCCTCACCTTGAGCTTGCCAACAGACGCCTCTGCGTCGCTCAGCTTCTGCTGCAGACCCGCCTTCTCCCGCCCGTGCCGCTCCACCTGCCCCTGCCCCTCCGCCCTCGCGGCTCTGAGCTCGCCCTCAGTCGCCTGCAGCTGCTGCCACACCACCGCCCTCTCCTGCACTGCCACGTCAGCCGCCTCGCGCATGAGCGACAGCACAGGCCGCGCCACCCCCTCCTCTTGCGCCTGTGCAGGGCGACGGGGGGGAAAGGCGGGGGAAGTGGGGAGGCAGGGGGGAGGAAGGGGGGAAGAATGTGGGGGAGGAGGAGGGGGAGGGCGGGCAGGTACACAGGGAGGGGGTCAGTTCGGAAAAGAATTCGCTTTTGAGAATTCTCACAAGGAAGGGGAAGGGGAGGGCGGGTACCCAGGCAGGGAGCCAGTCAGGAAAAGAGAAGCCATTCTTTGAAGTGCCTCAAGATTGAATCAGGAGACAAGAACCAGAGAGCGCGATGAGCCGGAGGGAGGTTCGGGGGAGAGAGTTGGGAAGGGAGGGTTGGAAGGGGAGGGTTGGGAGGGGAGGGTTGGGAAGGGAGGGTTGGGAGGGGACGGTTCGAAGGTCATTCACCAGACGTTCATCACCCCAGCACCCAAACACACATCAGACAAAGCCCCGACCCGACGACTCACGAGGAACGAGAGGATGTCAAGACCAAGCTCCCCTTCCGGAGCGCCTGTCTGGCAGCTTGTCAAACGCACCACACCACATACTCATAGAGGATACATCAGACACGACACAGCACAAAGACTCACAAGGAACGAGAGGATATCCAGACCAAGCTCCCCTTCCGGCGCGCCTCGCTGGCAGCTGGTAACCCGCGCCACCAACCCCCGCAGTATCCGCTCCCGGCGCCCCGTGTCCCCATACACCTTGTACAGCACCGCATACAGCGTGCCCACAAATTCCCGCACGCGCTGCTCCTCACTCATCGCCAGCGCCTCTGCAAGCCCGATCACAGTCGGGAAATCCGTGTCTTCCAGACCTGTGGCTAGGGATGGGGAGCTGGAGGGGACTAGGGTGTTTCCGGAGGGGTCGAGGGCGGGGGAGGTGGAGGGGGTGATGCTTGCAGCTGCTGCTGCTGCTGCGGCTGCTGCTCCGGTGGTGCATGTGGAGCTGCAGGGCTCGAGGCACCTCTCATGCTGTTCCTGGTGTAGCTGTTGCTGCTGCTGCTGTTGCTGTTGCTGCTGCTGCTGCTGTCGCCGTTTCTTTCTCGAAAGCTGCTGCTGGGGCTGCTGCTTCCCCTGCTGCTGCCTCTGCTGCTGCTGCTGCTGCTGCTGCTGCTGCTGCTGCGTTTGCTGCTGTTGCTGTTGCTGCGGCTGCTGCTGCGGAAGCTGCTCCTCCCCCCCTACCTCACTCCCACCAGGCGCTGATCCCGTCAGGGCCGGCAATCCAGCAGCACCCGCCGCCATCCCACTCCCATCCATCCCATCCATCCCTCCTCCCGCCGACGCAGCAGACAGCGCGGCCAAATGCTGAGACCGGCGCCTCTCCAGCACCATCACCATGGCCTGCTCTCCAAACGCCCCTCTTGCCACCGCTCGCTCAAACACCGCCTGCGCGTTCCCGCGCAGACGTGGCAGCGTCAGCATCTCCATCAGCATGTCCATGTCAGCGACACGCCAGCAGGCGGCGGCTGCGGCTGCCATGACAGCAGCTTGCTGTGCTGCTGCCAGCTGGAGCTCTGCTGCTGCCGCGGCTGCAGCGGGGGAGGACGAGGGGAGCGCGGGGGCGGGAGAGGAGGCGTAGGGGGAGAAGGCGGCCATAGCGTTTGCACTCAAGCCAGCAGAGCCGCTGCTGGTGAAAGTCCCTCCAGGAGAACCCCCTCCCGACGCCCCAGCAGAAACGCTACCCCCTGCCCCTCCCCCTGCCCCGCTCCCTCCACCACCACCATTCCCGCTCGCCATCACCCCTGCACTCCCCGCCCCAGCTGCTGCAGCCGCTACTGCCGCTGCCGCCGCCGCAGCAGTCCCACTGTTAGCCGAGGCCGTCGCAAACGCAGCGAGACTCTCCAGAGCCTCCGGCGTGAGCGAGTGCTGCAGGTGCGACTGATCAATCTGGCCCATGGACGCCATTTGAGCCATTGGCAGCAGCGAGGGGAGGGACGCGGCTGCTGCAGCCATGGCGGAGGAGAGGAGGTGCGGGTTGAAGGGGCGTGTGTCGGCGTCTATGTCTCGCAGCATGGCCATGGCTATGTCCTCTCGGGCTACCACGGAAGCCCGCAGGGCGTGTAGCACTCGCGGGGAGACTGCGGGGCCCAGCTGCTGCAGCCGCTCCCGCACTGCCCGCACCTGGGAGGGCAGAGGGAAGGGAGAGGGCAGAGCAGAGATCGGCAGCACAAAGCACGAAGCTCAGAGAAGCAGCAGCTTACAGCAGCAACAACGACCAGCTTATACAGAAGATAGCACTTGAGGAAGGAGCTCACAGCACGGGCGAGCTACTGGCACTCAGCCGCAGCTTGAAGCACAAAGGTGAGGGCTAAACCAAAACAACAACGGACATCTTATACAGAGGACATGATAAGGAGCTTACAGCGGGGGCGAGTTGCTGGCACTCGGCTGCAGCTTTCAGCACAAAGCTGAGAGCGGCAGCAAGGGCGTCATCAGTGGTGTGTGGCAGCAGCAGCACCGCCTCCTCCAACACCAGCGACCAGGTGAGAGGATAGCACGGGAACAAAGAGCTTACCGCAGGGGCGAGCTGCTGGCACTCGGCTGCTGCCTTGAGCACGAAGCTGAGAGCAGCAGCAAGGGCATCGTCGGTGGTGTGTGGCAGCAGCAGCACCGCCTCCTCCAGCACCAGCGACCAGGTGAGCGGGTCCAGTTCCATCTGTACCAACGCTCCCACCACCTGAGAGGAACAGCGAGAGGGAATGCACAAGGAGTGTTGTATCAAAGGCCGTGCCAGCACAGGCCACAGCAGCAGCACCGCCTCCTCCAGCACCAGCGACCAGGTGAGCGGGTCTAGCTCCATCTGTACCAGCGCTCCCACCACCTGAGGGAGAACGGGAGCCAAGGGAGGCAAGCATTGAGCATTCATTCAATGCCTCAGGAGTCTCATCACACGCAGCAGCAGCAACAGCAGCAGCAACAGCAGCAGCACTGCCTCCTCGAGCACCAGCGACCAGGTGAGCGGGTCCAGTTCCATCTGTACCAGCGCTCCCACCACCTGAGAGGGACAGCGAGAGGGAATGCACAGAAAGTATTGTATCAGAGGCCATGCCATCACACACAGCAGCAGCAGCACCGCCTCCTCGAGCGCCAGCGACCAGGTGAGCGGATCTAGCTCCATCTGCACCAGCGCTCCCACCACCTGAGAGAACGGGCGAATAAGAGGTGGACAATCGGCCACTTGCGCATGCATAACCCTTACCTTAGTCACAACCCCGCACTACCTTCGTCAAGACTTCCAATCTACACCAAACACCAATCCGGAACCGGCAGCCAAGCAGCAAAACCAAAGTGGCACGGATTGAGAGCAATTCAATGCATCGCAATGCAACCCACCGGCAAGTGCATCATAGGCTCAGCGCTGGGCTGGCGCAGCCGCTGCAGAAGGTGACTCTTGAGTCGACTCAGCAAGTCAGTTTGTAATCAACTATAACGTGGCATGGATAACCAGCGATGCAACACAACACAGCCCACAACCCACTCACTGGCAGCTGCATCATGGGCTCAGCGCCGGGCTGTCTAAGCCACTGCAGCAGGGTCACTCTTGAATCAACTCAGCAAGTCATCTGGTTTGAGATCAGCTCTAATGCGGCATGGATACGGGCAACGCAACACAGCGCGACTCACAACACACCACAACCCACTCACCGGCAGCTGCATCATGGGCTCAGCGCCGGGCTGTCTCAGCCGCTGCAGCAGCGCCGCGGCAGCCTCGCCATGCTCCTCCACGTCCACCAGCCTCGTAATGTGTGGCTGCATTGACCTTGAGCAAAACAACATGACTCACCGGCAGCTGCATCATGGGCTCAGCATTGGGCTGTCTCAGTCGCTGCAGCAGCGCCGCGGCAGCCTCGCCATGCTCCTCCACGTCCACCAGCCTCGGCACCAAGCCTAGGATCTCGGCTTGGAAGGCCCGGGGCGCGTGCTCCAGCACCATGGCCACCTTGCGGGCGGAGTGCGGGCGGCGCCGCAGCGGCGGGTCTGGGTACGGGTAGGCCTGCGCTTGCGGCACGGCGGTTTCGAGGGCACGGAGCGAGTCGACTATGATGCCCAGTAGCTCGTCCGCCTGCTCGGGCCACTTGATCTGTGGGAGAGAGGGAGCGAGGGAGGGAGAGGGTGAGAAAGGCCGAGGGAGAGTGGAAAACGGCGGTTTCGAGGGCTCGGAGCGAGTCGACTATAATGCCCAGTAGCTCGTCCGCCTGCTCGGGCCACTTGATCTGCGGGGGGAAAGGGAGGGAGGGAGGGAGAGGGTGAGGAAGTGGGTGAGAAAGAGCGGAAACGGGTGGTTTCGAGGGCGTGGAGCGAGTCTACTATGATGCCCAGGAGTTCATCTGCCTGCTCGGGCCACTTGATCTGTGGGAGAATGGGAAAGAAGGGGAGAGAGGGTGAGGGAGAGGGAGGTGGGGAGGAGGGAGGGAGAGTGGAAAACGGTGACGGCACGGAGCGAGTCGACCATGATGCCCAGTAGCTCGTCCGCCTGCTCGGGCCACTTGATCTGTGGAGGGAGGGGAGAGGGGAGAGAGGATGGTAGGAGAGGAGAGAGGGAGGGGGGGAGGAGAGAGGGAGGGGGGAGAGGGGAAGAGGAGGAGTGGAGAACACCAATGTTGAGGGCACGAAGAGGGTTGATGCCTGCTCTGACCAGCTGATAAGTGGGGAGAGAGGGAGAGGCCGAATGTGATAAGTCGATTTTTGAGTCGACTCAAAAACCTGCTCTGACCAGCTGATCAGTGGGGAGGGAGGGAGAGGCCAAAAAGGCTGGGAGGAGAGAAGGAGAGTGGAGAAGGGGCAGAGTGGGATGAACACAAGAGTCAGCAAAACATACCGATGTGGGAAGCTGTCGCTGCCCCCTCTGCTGCTGCTGCGAGCTCTCTCCGTTCACACTCGTCACTGCAGACCCACTACTGCTGCTCTCCCCCTCCGCCACAGCATTCACCCTCCCCCCTGCGCCCTTCCCCCCCACCTGCGCACCAAACCCTTCCCCAACCCCACCCCCCGTCACAACCCCACTACTACTGCTGCTGCTGCCACTCCCCCCTGATCCCAACACCCCCCCTGCTGCCCCCGCGCTAGCTCCCTTCCCCCCTCCCCCCCCGCCTCCCCCACTGCCTGTGCTGCTTCCGCCCCGGCGCCCCCCCCCGCTCCCATTAACCCCGTAACCGCTGCCATAGCTGCTGCTCTGAACAGCCGCGTCAGATCCCCCCGCCCCCCCGTGCCCCTGCTCTAGCCTCTGCGCCACTGACAGCTCCTGGAAGGAGGAATCCGCGGGGTCTCTCCGCCCCCCTGACGCGCCCCCCGCGCCCCCGCCCCCCCCTCGCTTCCCCTCGCGGGTCGCGGGGGCGGAAGGGGGGGCTGACGCGGGGAGGGATGGCGGAGGGGTGCAGGCGGAAGGGGCGAGCGGGGGAGTGGTGGCGGAAGGGAGGGGGACTGGCAGAGTGGGGAGGGAGGTTGCAGTGTCGTCTGCTTGGGGCGCACACGCACACAGAAACAGGTAGGCACACACACGCACACACCACACATGCACACAGAATTAAACAGGCACACACACGCACCCACACACACACACACGCACACATGCACACATGCACACAGAATCAGACAGGCACACACACGCACGCACACAGAAACAGACAGGCACACACGCACACACACGCACACACACGCACACACAATCACACACACACAGAGGCAAAACGATCAAGCCAACGGCGAGAAACTGGGTCAGAGAGCAGATAGGTCTGCTGGGAACTAAACAGCACACAGATGAGAGAGCACCACCCCTCACCACCCCTCGCCGCTCCTCACCACTTCCGACCACCCCTCACCACTCCTCTCACCCGCTCACCTGTGCCAAAGAGGCGCCCTGCGTCTGCATCACCCTGAGAGGGGGCGCGTTGCTGGCAGTACTCCACCATGATATCCAACAGCAGATAAACTAACCTCACCACGTCTAACCACTCCCCACCACTCCTCACACCCGCTCACCTGTGCCAAAGAGGCGCCCAGCGTCTGTATCTCCCTGGGAGGGCGCGCGTTGCTGGCAGCACTCCACCATGATATCCAACAGCAGATCCACTATCGCCTGCTGCAGCGATCAGCAGATTCCCCAAACCACTCGTCACCACTCCCCACCACCTCTCACCACTCATCACCACTCCCCACCCATCCGGACCACTCCTCACACCCGCTCACCTGTGCCGAAGAGGCGCCCAGCGTCTGCGTCGCCCTGGGAGGGGGCGCGCTGCTGGCAGCACTCCACCATGATATCCAACAGCAGATCCACTATCGCCTGCTGCAGCACCTTCACCCCCATCAGCAGATTCACCAGCGACGGATGCTCCCCCTCCCCCTGCCCCTGCCCTTGCCCCTGCCCCTGCGCCCCCGCCTGCGCCAGCCCCTGCGCACCCCCTTGCTCTTGGGCCCCCCGGCCCTGGTTCTGCCCCCGCTGCTGCCCGCCCCTTCCCCCCTTCCCGTACCCGCCTCTCCCCCCCGCGCCAGACGCGCCGGCCGGGGCGGAAGCGGAAGCAGAGGCGGAGGAGGCGGAGGCGGGCTGCGCGGGGGGGAGGAAGAGGCGCTTGATCTTAGTAGGGTCGTCCAGGTAGGTGCGCAGGCCGCCCAGGAAGGTGGCCACTGCGCCCGCATCCATGAGTAGCTTCTCCCGCAGCGTCACCTGCAGCTGCGTGGGATCCAGCAGCAAGGGGGAGCTGTCCCCGTAGCTGAGATGGAACCCCGCGCGCACCAGCAGCGAACGGAAAATGTCCTCCTCGTCCCCCATCACCCCCCCCGCCGCCCCCGCCGCTGCTGCCCCTCCCGTCACCACCCCAGACGACCCCCCACCCCCGCCACCACCACCAGAAGCAGCGGCAGACGCAGCAGCAGAGGCAGCAGCAGAAGCCGCCACAGCGGCAGCAGAACCGGCGGAGGGGGGCGGGGCAAGGGAAGAGGAGGAGGAGGGCATGGCCCCCAGCCCTGCTGCACCCCCCGGGCCTCCTGGTCCTCCCAACCCCACCTCCCCGTCGTCACTGTCTAGCAGCTCTTCCCCGTCTGTGCTAAGCCCGTCCCCATCCTCGTCCTCGTCCTCGTCCTCGTCCTCCTCCTCCTCGTCTTCCTCCTCGTCTGACATCATCACCTGCCCGGGCACGCCCTGTGTGTGGGCGACGAGGGGGGAAAAGGAAAATTAGGGTTATGGAACTTAATTCCGTGGTTATCCTCACATTCAGCTTCCCCCTTAACTTCTTCCTCCAGATTCAGAGCGTTTAAAGCGCGATTTCCAGTGTTTACTATGGATTGCAGGGCGTTAACAAGTGAGAACTCACATAATTTACTAGCGCGAACTCAAAGTACTCACGAGTGCAAATTATGAGTTTTTTCAAGTGCAAAATGACAATCTTTAAGAGTGCAAATGTGACAACTGTTACAGGTACGAAACCGAAGTAGCTGACAATTCATACTTCACACCATCAGCATTTGTCAAGACTGGGAGAAGGCATACTATCCACGTACCTCCTCACGTGTGCCCCTGTTCGGATTTACAACAACGCACCAACAGAACCCTCTAACCGAACCCTCTACTCCACACATTCACCTGCAGACGCGTCTCATCTGATATCGCAACGAGGTGACTCCCGGGTCCACTCAAATCTCGGTTCGCGTCGACGTAGACACGCACGCATAACCCCCTACCCCCCCAACCCCGTAACCCCCTAACCCCGTACCCCCAACTCCCAAACCCATACCCCCCCCCATACCCCACGCCCTCTCACCTCGAGGTCCGAGAACTGGGGCAGCAGTCGAGGATATCGCACACGAAAACAACAGTATCGCGCACCAAACCCCCCCTTCTGGATCCAGCAGCTCCGCGACCTTCATGAGCTGCAGCACGCTGTTGTTCCACGTGCGCGTGCCCCACTACCCCCTGCTTCACACCCCCCTACCTCACAGCCCTCTTGCCCACAACCCTCTACCCCACGCCCTCTCACCTCGAGGTCCGAGAACTCGAACCAGGGGCAGCAGTCGAGGATATCGCACACAAACACCACCGTGTCCCGCACCAGGAACCCGCCCTCCGGGTCCAGCAGCTCCGCGACCTTCATGAGCTGCAGCACGCTGTTGTTCCACGTGCGCGTGCACACACTCGCCTCCTTCCACACGCTCGCCTCGGCGGCCTTCTGGTTGACGATGCCGATCTTGTAGCGCACCCAGAAGTTCTTGTCCATGTCTGTGGCCGCCATGGTCGTGGCTGTGGACGGGCCCGAGCCCGCCATGGCCTGATCGCTCTCCAGGTAGATGCACAGCGTGTCAAACGACTCGTACACGCCTGGGGGCCGGGGAGGAAGGAGGGAGCGAGGGAGGGGGGAGGTGGGGGGGAAGGGGGGCGCGGTGGGGGGGAGAAGGAAGGGTTCAACGACTGGAATAGGAGCCCGCCATGGCCTGATCGCTCTCCAGGTAGATGCACAGCGTGTCAAACGACTCGTACACGCCTGGAGGTGAGGAGGGGGAGGGTGGGCAGGGGGTGTCGAGCGGGGAAAGGGGAGGGGTGGGGTCCCCAGAGGTGGGAACGGAGGAGCATTGAGTCTTAAAACGAAGACATACGCGAGAGGGCTTTAAAGACCCGGGTAGGCGCGATATGGGCTTTATAGACCCTGATCGCTTTCCAGGCGGATGCGGAGCGTGTCGAACGACTCGCATACGCCTGGCGAGGCCCCAATGGGGGGCGTGTGGCGCATAGACAGTGGCGCATGGCGCACATGAAACCCTAATTGCCCGCTAAAACATCAGTGACACGAGCGAGAACCAGAGGGCGGGGCGTTTGAGGGGGGGGGCTGGGGAGGGGGACACGGGGCGGAAAACCAGAGCCAGGGGGCGAGAGCCAGAGGGCGAAAACACAGCGTGCAGGGAGAGGGGGCGCGGAAAACGTTGAGTCAGGGAAAGCAAAAGAGTAGACGTCTCAAAACAAGAGACGCCTCAAAACGCACCAATGCGGAGGTCGCAGCCGCCAGCGGAGAAGAACTTGCTGAAGATCTTCCTCGTCTCCATGATCTCCTTGAACGCCAGGAAATTCTCCACCTTCCACGTGAACACGCCGCGCTTCGCGATCTTATTCGCGCCCGTCACGTCCATCGCGCCCCCCGCAATCAGCTGCGCCGTCCCCGCGCCCCCTATCCCCACCAGCCCCGCGGGGGACGCCGCCCCCTCGTCCGTATACTCGAACAGAAACGACGACTCCTTCAGTATAAGCACCTCCGCGGAGAACACGACCGTATCCGATACAAGGAACCCCGAGTCTAGGTCAAAGAGGGACGTGAGCGTGACGAACTCCCGCCAGCCCCAGTCTTTGGCGGCCTTGCTGTAGCGGTTCTGCGACTCCTTGGCGACGCACCGGTCCTCCTGCCGCTGGTTGACGACGGAGAGGCGGTGGCTCACGAAGCAGCTCCAGTCGGCGGCTGGCACGCGCGAGTCCGTGACCTCCAGGAACATGGACAGGTGGCACGGCGGCTGCGACTGGCCTGCGCGGGTGTGGCGGGGGGGATATGGGGGGAAAACCGCGGGAAAACAGGGGGAAATCGGGAAATAAGTAGGGGTACTGGGGAAAGGGTGGGTAGGGCAGAGTCTGTGACTTCGGCACGAACAGGTGGCACGGCGGCTGCGACTGGCCTGCGCGGGTGGAATTCAGTGCAAAGCGGGCGGGGAACCGGAGGAAGGGAACAGAAGCGGCCGACAATGGCGGTTAAAGGTGGCGACTGGAAGGGACCGGAGGGTCGTGGGGGAGTTGGTTGAGAGGAGGATAGAAATGCGGGAAAAACGGCGGAAGAGACGGCGCGACGAACACATACAATGGGACGGCGGAAAGGGTACGTCGACGCGGACAAAGGCAAACCGAGAATTGGCCCAGAGGAATTCACCCGAACGAAACCCTACCACAACTAGCGTATACCTCACAGCTAGCGCGCACACATCACAAGCAGTGCGCAGCGCACGCGCAGCACAACCGTACCTCGCGGGTAAACGATGAGGCGGCAGTCGCGCCCGCCGACCTGGAACCGCTTGCTTTTGATGCACAACCCCGTGATCTTGCGCTTCTTCAGCAGGTCCTTGAGCCGCGTGAAGTTATCGATCCGCCACACAAACTTCCCGAAGTACCCGTCGCCCTTCTTCACGTTGCTGCCACGCCCGCCCGGCAGCGACGGGTTCTTGGAGAACGTGCTGGATTCCTTGATGACGTGGAACGACGCGCTGAACACCGCCGTGTCGTCCACGAGATACCCCGCGGTCGCGGATACGAAATCCGCCATGCGCATGTAGTCGTTCCACCCCAGGCTCGTGTTATCTCCGCTCTTGTTGTCCGCCGCGAATCGCCCGTACGAGTCCCTGTGCACGTGGTTCGATCCCGGCCGTTGGTTCAGCACCGACATGCGGAACAGGCACCAACAGCTGCGCTCCGGGCCGGATGACTTATCGACGTCTTTACTCTCGAGGCACATGGAGAGGTAATCGACGTTGTTGACGGACGACTGGTAGACGCTCAGACGGAGGTTGCAATCCCCGGCGGGAAACACGGGACTCATGATCTTCTGCGTCTTAATCATCTCCTTAAACAGCGAGAAGTTGTGAACTTTCCACGAGAATTTCCCGCTAACAACCTCCCCGGTAGCGGGAGTAATCGACGACGCGAGCACCTCGTTGTCGCGCGAGAACGACACGGACTCGTCAAGAATGAGAATCTCCGCCGTTATAAGCACCGCGTCGGTCATCAGAAACCCCGCGCGGGAATCCAAAACGACCGACGACGGCGTGAAGTCGCACCAGCCGTGCGACTTCTTCTTCCCCGAAAACCGGTGCCACGAATCCCGCTGCACCGTTTTGCTGTCATCTTTCACGTTCACCACGCAAAGCCGGTAGCTCGCGAAGCAATCCCACTTGCTACTAGCCGTCCCGCGCGGGTCCGTGAGTTGCAAATAAATGGATATGTACCCCGGCAAAGCCTGCGAGTCGCCTTTCGGGTATACCAGCAGCCGGCAGTCAAACCCGCCTACTTCGAAATACTTGCTCCAAAGCGCGCGCGCCTTGACCTTGCCGAACTGCGCGATGGTCCATTTGCAGATGGCCGCGTGGTCGCCCTTGCGCTCTACCACCACTGATTCCTGACCGGCCTCCTTGGGATCATCTATGCTCTCGTTGCCTCGCAGCTGGACCTTGTCGCTGCGAGATCCGGGCAATGTGCCGTCTGAGTTGATCTGACACGCCGTCGCTCCTGACTCCTCCGCTTTCCTCATGATGGCTCCCTAGGAAAATCGGATGGCTAGGTTTACGGAATCTTACGAAAAGGTCCTAACAAGAAGGAAACATTACGGATGGCTTGATTGAATAGTGAGCCTACTACCGTCAGACCCTGCTACGCGGAAACCTAATTTTTAACACACAGCAAAAATGGCTGTGGAAGGTCAAACAGGAAAGGCGACAAAGAAACTGAAGCCTCTTAAAAATGAAAAGAAAGGTCGAAGCTAAGAAACCACAAAAACTCACTATCCCGCAACTAAGGACACGGCGCAAGATCCGCCGCGGAAACTAATCTACTCTCTGAAGGCAAAAAACTCTCCTTATTCCAGATCTGCTAAATGAGATAAGGAGCAGAATGACGAGGAACGACAAGTACCAAGTAAACCAGAAACCCTAACTCGGCTCTGCTCCCTCAGATGGCGTTCTACGCAACCACCCAGAGGCTCAGAATGCCGTGCCACGTATTCCTCTCCCTCGGGATTCCCTGCAAACGGATCACCCCCTCATCCGTCTGTCCACCTCTGCCCGTCAGATCCCGTTGGGGCAGGCGGGAGGGAATGCAGCCCCCGCCCAGAAGCAAGTATGCCAGTTGGGGCAGTCTACGTCCGTCTCGTTTGCATTGCGTTCCGCAGGTGGTCGCGGGATCGTGAACGAAAAACCTTCGCGAAGTCATAAGACCCTTCGTGGTGGCCGTCATCTTCGCCATGGAATGTTCTGCTGTTACGTCAGCTCCCTAATGCACATCGTACACCGCAACGACCCTTTTTTCTGTAAATGATATATTGTCTAGGACAGCAGATTTTTTGAAAACATGCATGAGTGACACTAGCTACATAAGCGCAAATATGCACGCCATATTCGTACAGTTTCAAACTGTTCAAATCAAAACCCTAGAACATATATTTTGGGTGAGATCCGGCCTCCAGTTGGGTGAGATCTGGTCTAGAACACAGATCGGTCACCACCGAAGCCTGTCCCAAAAAATACCCGTTCCACCTTGCACATCACGGAGCGCACGACACGGTATGTGCACTACCTGCATGCTCCGTATCTCACGCCGTCGCCTATTCTTAGCCCGATCCAGTACTCAATCGAACCCGGTTTTAGGGTAACTTTCGCATCTTCAAGGCCGTCACGATCGTTGTAGTCACATCTGGGAGGTTTCCGGGATGTGGTCATCGAGGCACCCTCACGCGCCGTGGCCGCGGCCGAGCGTCGGCCGTTTCTGCTACGTCATGGTGGCGATCGCAGCAGCCATCGTGATGGTCCACCATCACAACCAGATGCAGCAAGAGATCGACGTCAATCGACGGTCCAGGTTCGCCGATCACATCAACCCCCCTCCCCTGCGTTCCTTCCGAATCGTGTTTAATCTCCCAACAATCATTGGCCTTTCCGTCCGCTTCCACGTCCTCATTTCAACGCGGGTCGTTCGCGTGTGTCACGTGTGGGTCGTGCGTGTGCGCCACGTGGCAGAAATCAGATGGAGCGGCTGTATGACGCGATGCGGCGGCAGGAGGGGGAGTGGAAGGCGAAGGCAGAGGACGAGCGGCTGCGACTCGCGCAAGTCATGGACGCGTGTTCCAAGGTCGGATATGATTCTGTGATATATTTGAAGGAACTCAATGTTCCAAGGTCAGATGTAACATTGTGATGTAGTCTAAGGATCCACGTGTTCCAGAGTCAGACGTGACACCGTGATTAAAATGAAAGTACAACCACCTGTGTTTCCAGTCAGACAGGTAAGGCCTTATTATCTCCTCCCCTGCTCTCTCTCTCCTGTTCCACAGGTACGGCAGCAGCTAATAGCGGAGCAGCAGGTCAGCCAGCAGCAGGAGCAGCAGATACGCTCCCTGCAAGAGGTGCGTGCGGGAAGGAGCACTTGAGAGGGATGGTGCTAGTTAGGGAGGGAGAAAACGAGTCCGAGTCTGTATGTGTACGTACGTGTTGACGTCAGCATGTGTGCATGCATGTCCACGTCAGCATGCGTATGCGTCCACTGTGTGTTGCACCTTCCTTGGCTGCCTCCAGCTATGCGTTTCTCAGGCATGCATTGTGCTTCCTTGCGTGTACCTGTCCCGGGTGTGACTGTAACAGGAGCTGCGAGCAGCAAGAGGCGTGCCGCGAGACAACACGCCTAAGAGGCCCCCAGAGGGGGGCAACCCTTGACCCTTGCCTGCCCCGCACTGGCAGGCAGGCGATATCACCTGACCACCTTGCCCTGCATGTGTGCATGCATGCGCTTCACACATGGGTCCTACAGCTGGAATGGGCGGCAGTCACAGGCAGCAGCACTGGATGGATACTGAGTGTGGGAAAGGAGTGGCATGCTGCACGCGCGGACAGAGACTGGTACGTACCCACCTCAAGTGCGTCTTGTGCGTCCAGGATGGCACCGGACAGAGCTCAGCTCGACCCCTCTCTCATGCACCCAGCGGCAGCACTCCTGCATCTCAATGTGCAACGGCGTCTGCTGAGCTCTCGCTTTCTCCTGTTGCAGACGCAGTCAAGCGCACAGGCCAGCGGGGCAAGGAGCGTGTCAGTCGGGGCTTGACTCAACGTTTCACCTCACAACATTCTGCGAGGGGCTCGAAGTCTGTCAATTTCCGTCACCTGCTGCCGTGGCAGACCAGAGGTGTGGTGAACCTGCTCCATCTCTTCTGGTTTCCATCCATTCCATTTCTCTGGCAGACATTTCAGCATGACCAACAGCCTTCACAGCTTCGGCTTCAGCAGCAGCAGCAGCAGCAGCAGCAGCAGCAGCAGCAGCAGCTGTGTCATCACTTGACCTCCTAAATGCTTTGAGCTAAATTGAATCGATGTTCTTTCAGCAACGAGGGGAGTCCACCTGGCCAGGCTGCCACTGTGATCTCTGTCCTCTATGGTCCTGGTATGACCAAGTGCTGACTGACGCAGCAGGATCTGCCAGTCTGTGCCAACTCCTTCCAGTGCTTCACCACTGCCCACATGAAGCTGGGGGAGATGCGATGCACTCGGGCCTGTGCTTTAAGATGTGGTCTCTTTAGTTGAGCTTCATGCATGTTGGTGTTTCTTCACGCTGCGCTATGGCCAACTGTTGAGAGCCAATCAGGCATTGCCCAGCTTCAGATTTATCACTCTTCACAGAAGGTGCTGTTACTGGAAGTATTACAAATATGGACTTGTCTTAGCAAAGAGCTCAGAGCAGGCAGCAAGCCAGAATGCACTCACACCATGGCCACTTTGGAACCAAGGCAGCAGGGTACGATGCATGGAGCGAGTGCGGCGGCGGGATGAGGGGTGCAGCACTCCCAGCACCTGCAGCTCCGATGCTGCTGCCAGGAAGCGGGCCCTGTGGGGGGTGGAAGGGCAGGGGGGGACATGGCATACTGAGGTGCATGGATGGAAACGTACAGAAACCGAGAGCAGGGTAGGGAGGCACATTTATGGGGTGAAGCATTAGCAGCACCTGTAGCTCCAATGCTGCTGCCAGGAGCCGAGTTCTGTGGGGTATGGGAGGGCAGGGAGGGCACATGGCAAACGGAGGTGCATGGGCAATGTGCGGAAACTGAGCACAGGGCAGGGGGCCACATGTATACGTGCAGCACTCCCAGCACCTGCAGCTCTGATGCTGCTGCCAGGAAGCGAGCCCTGTGGGGTGTGGGGGGGTTCTAAGGAAGGTGCATGGGCAACGTACGGCAAGGGGGTGCAACGTACGGCAAGGGGGGGCAACGCTGAAACCGCATTCAAACTGCCACAAGGATGGTGCAAGAATGAGCGCAAGCGGATGTGATTCCTGAGGCACCTCAAATGAGACCTTTTGTGGGGCGTCTTTGAAAGAATGAGGGAGTGAGTGGCATTCATGATTGCATGAGCATGGGCGAGCATGGACGCAACTGGATATGCTCATCTGAGAGAGTGGCTGTCGTGGTGCTGCAATCATGCCCCACCTCCTGCTGCTCCTCCCCACCACCACCACCCTTCCTCTTCCTTCCCCTCCTCCCTCCCTTCTTCTCAGCACCCTTCACCGCCTCTCTCCCATCTGCCGTCCTCCCCTTCCTCCCACGCCCCCTGCCCCTGTTGCCAGCAGCAACAGCAGCTTCAGCCGCACCAGCAGCAGCAGCACCAACAGCCTCACCCCCAGCACCACATTCAACCGCACTGGGTGCAGCCACAGCAGCAGCAGCGGGGGCGCAGGCAGCGCGAGTGGCAGCAGCGAAGGCAGAGAGGAGGTCGCGGGAGTCAGCAGAAGCACCAGGCATGGCGCACACAAGAGAGTACAGCCGACCCGTGTCATGCGCCGTTGATGCTGCTGGTATCACAAGCGGTATCCCACGTCCTAGAGACGACCTTTCAGCCACTCCAAAGATGTCATGTGCCCGTGAGTCGGATGATAGTGGAGCTGGGTTTGTCCCCTTGTGGGCTGATCGTTTGGTGAGGCTAGAAGTCTCAAGGACAGGTGAGGGCGCTGGCATGATATGCTTTTGTGGCTTCTGCAGTGGCCGTTTCGTGAAGCTGAGAATATCCAGTGCTGTTGATGGCGCTGGGTCCAGCTGCACTTGGGATCGCTGCTGCTGCTTCTGCTGCCGTTCCTCCTCCTCATGCTGCTGCTGCTGCTGCTGTTTGTGCTCGTGCTGCTGGGTGAGGTAAGAGCGGAGGGAGGAGAGCACAGCGGCACCAGCGGGGTAGGCTGCGAGGGATGCAGGGGCTTCAACGATGAACGGCTGCAGATGGGTGTGGGAGGGCCAGTCTGTTGCACAGAGGCTGGGTGGAGGGGTAGAAGTCAGTGAGAAGGGGAGAGTGTGAGAAAGAGTTTTTCTTAAAGTATTTTTCGACTGTTTGAGAACCACACCGTAGAAAAAGACGGGTTCACCAAAATTCACGCATTCACTTCAAACCGCACCTTGAACAACAAACAAGAAAGTTTGTTACTTCTCGTGATTGGCGAATCACATTGCAACTTTATGCTTACCGCACAAGACATGTTAACAGGGCTTGCAGCTTCCCTGCCACTTGTGGCAGCACAAGTCACACAGCGACCTGAGGGCAGCAGGAGGGGCTGATGCAACTCAAATCTTTACCGCACTAGACACACCAGAAGTCGTTTCCTAAATTAAACTCTCACCGCACAAGAGACGAGAGCAGAGCTTGCAGCTTTCCTGCCACGTGTGGCAGCAGCAGGTCACACAGCGACCTGGGGGCAGCAGGAGGGGCTGATCCAGACTGCTGGGTAGAATGGGGCGCCGCTGGGTGGCTTGATGCTGCTGATGGCGGTGGTGACGCCGCCGATTGGAGCAACATGGCCCTGAAACGCAGTGGGTTGGGTTGGGTTGGGTTGGGTTGAGTTTGGTTGGGTTCGGTTGGGGTTATTGTAGAGAGCCAAGAAGCACAGAGGATGGGCATGTACGCAGGGAAGGCGTGGCCCATGCAGAATCTGTATCACTCTGTGAAACCTACCTTGCACACTCACATTCCTATTCCACCCACCTTCTCCGCATGGCAGCACTCGACCCCCTCTGAGCCATGCTCGCAGCACCCGCACCTGCCACCCCTCCTTTCACGCCTTTCCCACCCAAAACATCCGCTCCTTTCACCCCACCTCCTCCTGTTGCCCCTCCCCCAGCTGACACTCCCTTAGACGAATTGCCAGGTCTGTGCCTTGTACCATCCACTTCATTCCCCCTCTCCATCTCATTCCCGTTCCCCAAATCTCCTCCTTTCTGGCTTCCCGCTGCTGCTGCCGCCGCTGCTGCTGCCGCTCTTTCTGCTTTGGTTCGGCGCACTGCTACATCCACGGAGGCTTGGATCTGCCGAACCAGACGGAGGGGCTGCACCGATCCAAGGAGGGACAAAGAGCAACAGGGAGGCGCAGCGCAACGGACGGACGAATGGCTGTGATGCCGAATGGTTACATTGCAGCAGCGGGCTCAATGGAGACCAAGCTCAGGAGCCATCACACAGATAGAAAGACTAACCAAAGGGACTAACCAAAGGGACTAACCAAAGGGACTAACCAAAGGGACTAACCAAAGGGACTAACCAAAGGGACTAACCAAAGGGACTAACCAAAGGGACTAACCAAAGGGACTAACCAAAGGGACTAACCAAAGGGACTAACCAAAGGGACTAACCAAAGGGACTAACCAAAGGGACTAACCAACGGGACTAACCAAAGGGACTAACCAAAGGGACTAACCAAAGGGACTAACCAAAGGGACTAACCAAAGGGACTAACCAAAGGGACTAACCAAAGGGACTAACCAAAGGGACTAACCAAAGGGACTAACCAAAGGGACTAACCATAGGGACTAACCAAAGGGACTAACCATAGGGACTAACCAAAGGGACTAACCAAAGGGACTAACCAAAGGGACTAACCAAAGGGACTAACCAAAGGGACTAACCAAAGGGACTAACCAAAGGGACTAACCAAAGGGACTAACCAAAGGGACTAACCAAAGGGACTAACCAAAGGGACTAACCAAAGGGACTAACCAAAGGGACTAACCAAAGGGACTAACCAAAGGGACTAACCAAAGGGACTAACCAAAGGGACTAACCAAAGGGACTAACCAAAGGGACTAACCAAAGGGACTAACCAAAGGGACTAACCAAAGGGACTAACCAAAGGGACTAACCAAAGGGACTAACCAAAGGGACTAACCAAAGGGACTAACCAAAGGGACTAACCAAAGGGACTAACCAAAGGGACTAACCAAAGGGACTAACCAAAGGGACTAACCAAAGGGACTAACCAAAGGGACTAACCAAAGGGACTAACCAAAGGGACTAACCAAAGGGACTAACCAAAGGGACTAACCAACGGGACTAACCAACGGGACTAACCAACGGGACTAACCAAAGGGACTAACCAAAGGGACTAACCAAAGGGACTAACCAAAGGGACTAACCAAAGGGACTAACCAAAGGGACTAACCAAAGGGACTAACCAAAGGGACTAACCAAAGGGACTAACCAAAGGGACTAACCAAAGGGACTAACCAAAGGGACTAACCAAAGGGACTAACCAAAGGGACTAACCAAAGGGACTAACCAAAGGGACTAACCAAAGGGACTAACCAAAGGGACTAACCAAAGGGACTAACCAAAGGGACTAACCAAAGGGACTAACCAAAGGGACTAACCAAAGGGACTAACCAAAGGGACTAACCAAAGGGACTAACCAAAGGGACTAACCAAAGGGACTAACCAAAGGGACTAACCAAAGGGACTAACCAAAGGGACTAACCAAAGGGACTAACCAACGGGACTAACCAACGGGACTAACCAACGGGACTAACCAACGGGACTAACCAAAGGGACTAACCAAAGGGACTAACCAAAGGGACTAACCAAAGGGACTAACCAAAGGGACTAACCAAAGGGACTAACCAAAGGGACTAACCAAAGGGGACTAACCAAAGGGACTAACCAAAGGGACTAACCAAAGGGACTAACCAAAGGACTAACCAAAGGGACTAACCAAAGGGACTAACCAAAGGGACTACCAAAGGGACTAACCAAAGGGACTAACCAAAGGGACTAACCAAAGGGACTAACCAAAGGGACTAACCAAAGGGACTAACAAAGGGACTAACCAAAGGGACTAACCAAGGGACTAACCAAAGGGACTAACCAAAGGGACTAACCAAAGGGACTAACCAAAGGGACTAACCAAAGGGACTAACCAAAGGGACTAACCATAAGGGGACTAACCAAAGGGGACTAACCAAAGGGACTAACCAAAGGGACTAAACCAAACCAAAGGGACTAACCAAAGGGACTAACCAAAGGGACTAACCAAAGGGACTAACCAAAGGGACTAACCATAGGGACTAACCAAAGGGACTAACCAAAGGGACTAACCAACGGGACTAACCAAAGGGACTAACCAACGGGACTAACCAAAGGGACTAACCAAAGGGACTAACCAAAGGGACTAACCAAAGGGACTAACCAAAGGAACTAACCAAAGGGACTAACCAAAGGGACTAACCAAAGGGACTAACCAAAGGGACTAACCAAAGGGACTAACCAAAGGGACTAACCAAAGGGACTAACCAAAGGGACTAACCAAAGGGACTAACCAAAGGGACTAACCAAAGGGACTAACCAAAGGGACTAACCAAAGGGACTAACCAAAGGGACTAACCAAAGGGACTAACCAAAGGGACTAACCAAAGGGACTAACCAAAGGGACTAACCAAAGGGACTAACCAAAGGGACTAACCAAAGGGACTAACCAAAGGGACTAACCAAAAGGGACTAACCAAAGGGACTAACCAAAGGGACTAACCAAAGGGACTAACCAAAGGGACTAACCAAAGGGACTAACCAAAGGGACTAACCAAAGGGACTAACCAAAGGGACTAACCAAAGGGACTAACCAAAGGGACTAACCAAAGGGACTAACCAAAGGGACTAACCAAAGGGACTAACCAAAGGGACTAACCAAAGGGACTAACCAAAGGGACTAACCAAAGGGACTAACCAAAGGGACTAACCAAAGGGACTAACCAAAGGGACTAACCAAAGGGACTAACCAAAGGGACTAACCAAAGGGACTAACCAAAGGGACTAACCAAAGGGACTAACCAAAGGGACTAACCAAAGGGACTAACCAAAGGGACTAACCAAAGGGACTAACCAAAGGGACTAACCAAAGGGACTAACCAAAGGGACTAACCAAAGGGACTAACCAAAGGGACTAACCAAAGGGACTAACCAAAGGGACTAACCAAAGGGACTAACCAAAGGGACTAACCAAAGGGACTAACCAAAGGGACTAACCAAAGGGACTAACCAAAGGGACTAACCAAAGGGACTAACCAAAGGGACTAACCAAAGGGACTAACCAAAGGGACTAACCAAAGGGACTAACCAAAGGGACTAACCAAAGGGACTAACCAAAGGGACTAACCAAAGGGACTAACCAAAGGGACTAACCAAAGGGACTAACCATAGGGACTAACCAAAGGGACTAACCAAAGGGACTAACCAAAGGGACTAACCAAAGGGACTAACCAAAGGGACTAACCAAAGGGACTAACCAAAGGGACTAACCATAGGGACTAACCAAAGGGACTAACCAAAGGGACTAACCAACGGGACTAACCAAAGGGACTAACCAACGGGACTAACCAAAGGGACTAACCAAAGGGACTAACCAAAGGGACTAACCAAAGGGACTAACCAAAGGGACTAACCAGGGACTAACCAAGGGACTAACCATAGGGACTAACCAAAGGGACTAACCAAAGGGACTAACCAACGGGACTAACCAAAGGGACTAACCAAAGGGACTAACCAAAGGGACTAACCAAGGGACTAACCAAAGGGACTAACCAAAGGGACTAACCAAAGGGACTAACCAAAGGGACTAACCAAAGGGACTAACCAAAGGGACTAACCAAAGGGACTAACCAAAGGGACTAACCAAAGGGACTAACCAAAGGGACTAACCAAAGGGACTAACCAAAGGGACTAACCAAAGGGACTAACCAAAGGGACTAACCAAAGGGACTAACCAAAGGGACTAACCAAAGGGACTAACCAAAGGGACTAACCAAAGGGACTAACCATAGGGACTAACCAAAGGGACTAACCAAAGGGACTAACCAAAGGGACTAACCAAGGGACTAACCAAGGGACTAACCAAAGGGACTAACCAAAGGGACTAACCAAAGGGACTAACCAAAGGGACTAACCATAGGGACTAACCAAAGGGACTAACCATAGGGACTAACCAAAGGGACTAACCAAAGGGACTAACCAAAGGGACTAACCATAGGGACTAACCATAGGGACTAACCAAAGGGACTAACCAAAGGGACTAACCAACGGGACTAACCAACGGGACTAACCAAAGGGACTAACCAAAGGGACTAACCAAAGGGACTAACCAAAGGGACTAACCAAAGGGACTAACCAAAGGGACTAACCATAGGGACTAACCAAAGGGACTAACCAAAGGGACTAACCAACGGGACTAACCAAAGGGACTAACCAACGGGACTAACCAAAGGGACTAACCAAAGGGACTAACCAAAGGGACTAACCAAAGGGACTAACCAAAGGGACTAACCAAAGGGACTAACCAAAGGGACTAACCAAAGGGACTAACCAAAGGGACTAACCAAAGGGACTAACCAAAGGGACTAACCATAGGGACTAACCAAAGGGACTAACCAAAGGGACTAACCAACGGGACTAACCAAAGGGACTAACCAACGGGACTAACCAAAGGGACTAACCAAAGGGACTAACCAAAGGGACTAACCAAAGGGACTAACCAAAGGAACTAACCAAAGGGACTAACCAAAGGGACTAACCAAAGGGACTAACCAAAGGGACTAACCAAAGGGACTAACCAAAGGGACTAACCAAAGGGACTAACCAAAGGGACTAACCAAAGGGACTAACCAAAGGGACTAACCAAAGGGACTAACCAAAGGGACTAACCAAAGGGACTAACCAAAGGGACTAACCAAAGGGACTAACCAAAGGGACTAACCAAAGGGACTAACCAAAGGGACTAACCAAAGGGACTAACCAAAGGGACTACCAAGGGACTAACCAAAGGGACTAACCAAAGGGACTAACCAAAGGGACTAACCAAAGGGACTAACCAAAGGGACTAACCAACGGGACTAACCAAAGGGACTAACCAAAGGGACTAACCAAAGGGACTAACCAAAGGGACTAACCAAAGGGACTAACCAAAGGGACTAACCAAAGGGACTAACCAAAGGGACTAACCAAAGGGACTAACCAAAGGGACTAACCAAAGGGACTAACCAAAGGGACTAACCAAAGGGACTAACCAAAGGGACTAACCAACGGGACTAACCAAAGGGACTAACCAAAGGGACTAACCAAAGGGACTAACCAAAGGGACTAACCAACGGGACTAACCAAAGGGACTAACCAAAGGGACTAACCAAAGGGACTAACCAAAGGGACTAACCAAAGGGACTAACCAAAGGGACTAACCAAAGGGACTAACCAAAGGGACTAACCAAAGGGACTAACCAAAGGGACTAACCAAAGGGACTAACCAAAGGGACTAACCAAAGGGACTAACCAAAGGGGCTAACCAACGGGACGAAGCGATCCAGTGCTCGCGTCTCATGAACCTAACCCTCTCGAAGAACCTGGCCTGTCAACCAACTCCAACAACAATCCCCATCGATTCGCCACACCGACTCAATCCACCAACTCACCTCTGGTTGCTTTGGCACAGGCGAGCTCCAGCCACCCCAGCATCCTCTCTGCTCTGGCCTCATGCACCGAGCCCAACCTAGAAATGCACCCAATAACACCAGAGGCTACCCCTACAAACACACCCACACACCCAACAGACTCACCTCAGGCAGCTTGGCACAGGCGAGCTCCAGCCAGCCCAGCATCCTCTCTGCTCTGGACTCACCCCCCTCCTCCCACGCCCACTCCCCATCGCCTCCCTGACACCTTCCCTGCCCTCCCTCTCCCCTCACCTCCTCCTCTCCTCCTCCCCCCCGTGCAGCCTCTGTACCTCCTCTCCTCACAACCACCTCCGCCCCACCATCCCCGCCCTCCTCTCTTTCCTCAGCTACCTCTCCAGCCTCTCCTTTCTGTCTAGCCGTTTTCTGCGGCCTATCCATATGTGCTAGGCTTCCCTCCTTCCCCGCATGCCTCCGCTCTGCCTCCTCCAGCTCATGCCTGGGAGGTGCAGTGACGAGGGGGAGGTGTGTGAGACTCGGAAGAGGGGAGGGTGCGTGAGTAGAAAACGTGCAGAACGAGCAGCTAGAGGGAGGACTTACGGCAGTTCGAAATGACGTGACTATGCAGTCGACTCAAAAGTTAGCTATTCATAGTATGGGAATGTTCGAGATGGGCAAAAGTGCAGGAGCCACAGCACGCACAGGACTTACCTCCCCAGTGCAATTACCTGCACCACTCGCTGCAATCACCCCGTGTGACTCAAAGCCTGGCCCACAGTCAGAAGATTTAAAATTTCAATGCTGGTAGCGATAAGGAGTCAACACCTGATCGCCACATACATCCACGCACTCACTGGGCCAGTACGTTTGTCGCCTGCACCACTCGCTGCAAGCACTGCGTGTGACTCAGCGCCTGGCCCACAGTCGCAGTACCAGCGGTAGCAGCCGCAGCAGCAGCAGCAACAGCAGCAGCAGGAGGCGCATGGCTTCGATACGACCCTGATCTTAGGGCAATCTGAATGGCTGTAGGCGCTGGGGGCATGGGAGAACCCCAGCTCCCTTGTGCTGCTGCTGGTGCAGGGCTGATGGGCGAACCCGCATTCCTTGCAGGGTTGTATCGTGTAGGTGGAATGGGCGAGGAGATTGATGGTGTGAGGGAGATGGAGGGGAGAGGTGTGAGGGAGATGGAGGGGAGAGGTGTGAGGGAGATGGAGGGGAGAGGTGTGAGGGAGGAGAGGAGGCGGAGGAGGGATTCTGGTGAGGGAGTGCGTGGGGGAGTGAGAGACGGGTGGGAGGAGGCGAGGAGGAAGGTGAGGAGGTGGGCAGAGTGGGGTTGGAGGACGTGGAGGCGGAGGAGGAGGAGGTAGAGCGCCTGAAAGTGGGGAGAGAAAAACGAACAGCGGAGGGAGGAGTGGACAAGGACAGTGGTGGGAAGTCACAAAGGAACACAGGGAGCACGAGGCAGGTCACATGCACGGGGTTAGGCCAGTGGTGTTCAAGAGTTACCTGAACAGCAGACGCCCATTGGCTCAGCAGGGGAGGCGCAACTGGGGGAGGTGCAGCAGAGGCAGGCGGCACTGCAGCGGTGCTGTGGAGGGCAGACCCGGGAGGAGGGTCGGATGCACCCCCTGTGGTGAGCGTGGGGGCGCTGAAGAAGTGGTTGTGAAGGAGGGCCTGGAGGAAGGCGAGAAGAAGGGGGACAATGTAGTGAGGAGGGGAGAATAGAGCAGAGAGACACGAGGAGGAAGTGGTGAGGCACAACATCTTCATGGCGAACAGTTCATCTCCAGAGGATCCAAAGGCATTGCCTTGAAGCAACACTTCATGCCTTCCCTTGTATGCCCAGTTGTGACGGCTCAGGAGCCTCTAAAATGCAATGCACATCAGCCTATCGTGCATTCCAGGTGCCAGGTCGATGCACCCACCAGCTCACCGTGAGGACCACTGAGGTGCACGATGGGTCCGTGAGGCAGCTCCTGACATGACATCGTGTATGGACCCATTGTGCACCTCACATGGCTACTGAATGTCGCCCCCAACTCCACCTCCCCTCCCCCCCTCACCTTGAGGCAGTGTTTGATCCCGTGCATGGACCCATCATGCACCTCAAAACACTTCCACAGTGCTGCCCAGGCTGAGTGGGAGAGAACTACAGGCACCGCCATCGCTGCTGCTGCTGCTCCCACTGCTACTGCTCCTGCTCCTACTCCTGCTTCGACTCCCACACCTGCTCCTGCTGCTGCTGCTCCTGCTGCTGCGCTTGACGGTGATTGCGAGGCGGGGGAGGACAAGGGCTGTATAAGTGCAGAGAGGAGGAGGGGGTCGAGGAGGAGGCGCGGAGAGGGCAGGCGGAAGGTGGAGAGGTGGAGGTAGGGGAGGGTGCTGGGCGGCAGGAGGCGGGGGATGGACGGCATAGAGTGGACGCCAGTGAGGATGAGGACAAAAGGGAGGGTGCTGCGCCACTCGCTGGGGGTGGGGGAAGGTGAGGGTGGAAGAAGGTGGGGGAGGGGGGAGGCGGGGGAGGGGGAAGGCAGGGGTGGAAGGGGAGATGCGTGGTTGGAGAAGGATGTCATTGGGCTGGATGAGTTCTTGAGAAGGGCTTGGAGAATCAGCGTCACACATGGATGAATAAGCTTTTGAGGATAGGAGGAGTACGAAGGGTGGGGGAAAGGAGGGAGGGAAGGAGCACGGACCTGAGGACACTGATCAAGGCATGCAGCGCACTGGTGCTGCACGCAGGTGCGTCCGCCACCACCACCGCAATGGAACACACTCCACCACTGCAACCAGCTACGTTCCCCACGCTGCCAGCACAGGTGTGTGCCTGGTGCCATGCGGAGAGGGCAGCCATGTCAGGGACCTGGGGCACACGGGCAGCATGAGGAAAGAAAGCAAGTCTGACACATGAATTGAAAGGGCTGGCAATAAGTTTCCAGCAGCGCTGCCAGCAGAGTTCCCCACGCTGCCAGCACTAGTGTGTGCCTGGTGCCATGCGGAGAGGGCAGCCATGTCAGGGACCTGGGGCACACGGGCAGCATGGGGAAGGAGTAGCTCAAGATGTGAACAGGAAGGCAGGCTTTAAGATGACAGGCTGGTTGTGCAGGTTTTCTGTTGTGGGGCATTAAGATCACAAGCCTGTCCCACGCTTACTCCCCACTTTCCACTCTTCCCACCTCTGCCCTCAACTTCCGCTCTTTTTCCCTCTCCTCCTCCCCAGCCTTTTCCAGCATCCACCTGTTCACCCTCTCACCCCCCTATCCGTCTCTGTCTCACCTTCCCAGCCTTCCCAGTCAGCTGCTGCAGCACGCTCAACACAGCTTGACTCCCTGCCTGCCCTCCCGCGCCGAAACTATGCGGCTCCAGAAGCGCCACGTGGCAGCACCCCATTCGCTGCAGGGAGGCCTGAAGCGCGGAGCAGAAGGAGGCGCTGTCGGTGGAGTCGAGCGAGCCGGTTACCACAACACTGGTCGGCAGCTTGCAGGTCATACCCGCCCCAGCAGGCGTTATCTGGACAGGGCTTATCTCGCCAGATGTTGACTCAGCCTCTTGCCCTGCGTTGTCTGGAGAAAGGTGTTGGGGAGCAGGCAAGGTGGTTGCTTCAGAAATTACTTAATCATGACTTTATGCATACATACACTGATCCAAAGGAATCAAGTGTTATGTGAGCTCATCAGCCAAGCGGGTTGCTGTATGAGGGGACCCACGCTCCCCTCAAACATCCACATGTGCATATAGCGAAGATGTTTACAGCAAGGTGATTACAGGTAAGTGCTTACAATAGAGGTGCTTACAGCGGTGCAGAGCGGTGGATGTCTTGACCCACTGCTGAAGCTGAGCAACCACCCGGCTCTCATGCTCCCGTACCACTGCCTGCATGTGGTGGCGTGGGTTCACATGGGGTTGAATGCGGTTGCATAGGGTTGTATGGGGTTCCATTGGGTTGCATGCGGTTCTTTTGTTCTTATACATAACATATTCACGTCCCATACACTTCTTGCATCCATGCCCCATGCTTACATCCATGCCCCATGCTTACATCCATGCGTTGCTGCATGCTCTCCCACGTGGCTTCGAACGCCCCTCTCCCAAACACGGCTCCTGTCACCCTCGTCCTCCCTGCAGCTGCATTCGCACCCCGTGCTGCCGCAACCTCTGCTGCCGCACCCCCTGCTGCCGCATTTCCACCCCCTGTTGCAGCATTCTTCCCTACAAGCACATCCTTTACTTGCACAAGGCCATCCCTCGTAAGCACAGCAGCAGGCCTCTGTCGCGCATTATCTCCCTGCCTCGCATTCCCTCTCTCCGACACACACTCCCCCAGCAGCATGTTCTGTCCGTTCGCAGCATGGCCCTCCCTTCGTATTGGTGCAAAACGCCCGTCTGATTTCCTGTAGGGTGCATTTCCGGCCTTACACGCTGTATCTGTCTCTTTTCTCGTAGATGTTCTTTCGCCATCTCCTCCCACTTCCTCGACCTCCTCTCCCTCCTTCTCCCCCAGCTCCTTTCCCTCCTCCCCCATCTTCGCCTCCCCTTCCTCTTCCACAACCGCTCCCTCCTCCTCCCCTCTCTCCTCCCCTTCCTCCGCCTCTCCCTCTTCCTCGTCCGCTCCTTCCCGTGGCATCCTCCTCTCTTCAACACCCTGGTCCTCCTCCTCGCAAGTAGCCCCTCCCCCTGACACCACCTCCTGAACATCATCGTCAGCTTCAGCATCATCACCATCACCAGCATCACCATCACCAGCATGATCCCTTCTACACTCCAATTCCTCCTCCTCCGTCTCTTCCCCATCCTCCTCCTCATCTCTCTTTTCTCCCCTTTTCCTGACCCGATACTTTCCGCCCAGCTCCTCCTTACCCTCCTTCACGTTTCGCTGCCTCGACCTCCCTAAATCGTTTCCCTCCTCCACTCTCCTTGTTCCCAGTTTCTCACTTCCTCCCGCTCTTCCCTCTCTCTCACTCACTCCCGCTGTCCCCCCTCTCTCACTCACACCGCCTGTCTTACCAGACAATCTCTGGGACCTCCTAGGCGTAACGTGCTGTTTGCCATCCGACGGCTGAGATTGTTTCCGGGACGTTTCAGACTGAATCGACGCTCCTACCGTCACCGTGCATTGAACCTGATCCCCGTCGGACGGCGCAGATTCGTTCGAAACTCCGTTCACACGCAACTCCGCTGATTTTGCACAATCAGATCCCCGCTCCTGCTTTTGTTTCCTCGTCGACTGGCTAAGAGCGGCTTTGCCACGCGCCAAGTGTTTCTTTGACCTCATCAGGATTCACAAGGAAAATATCTCTTAGCCAATCCACAGATTCTTCGAGAAGATATGTGCTGATCCTACATAGCGTTAGGATCAGCAAGACCTACAGCTCAACCTCGGGACCTGTAGGTCCACTATCTTCACTTAGCCTACTACGTAGAGGTTAACTAGACCCACTGATCGTCCATAGCTGAAGGGATGTAACAAGCAATGTCTTCATATCGAAGCTGTTGGTGGTGACATGATCGTGCTTCATAGAAAGCTGCCACTTTGATGAAGGCAGGAATGATTGCTGTACCGCTGATGTGAAGTAATTTACGCGCGTACCTAAGAAAACAACGCGACGAGCTGCGCCAACTCCCATTCACTGCGGCGAACATGCAATTTACCAGCTAACACCTATAGATGTGTTCCGCTGGCTAGTGCTTTCACAAGCTCGGGTACAGAAGGAAATCAAGCAAGGAACTTATCTTGAAACTCGCCCACCCCTCATACCGTTCCTGTGCTGGAAATCCCAACAAATCGGGATGACAGGCTACTGCCATTTCGTGTCAGTGCTGTGTCAGGAGGAGGAAGAACGCCATTCCCCTTGATATTGGCCCGCCATTTCTCTGGCGCTGCGGAAGCTAAGATCGAGCCCAAAATTCAAATGCACCACGATTATACTAAATCCGAAGGCCATTTTATCCAATTCAACTTAATTTGTTCAATCAGCAACAAACGATTCTAAATTATGTGCAAGCCCAAAACAAATATACACCTTCTACCGTACCGCCTTTCAAATTTCTGCTCGCTATCCCGTGCCCCCTCACATTATGGTATCCTCTTACCCACACATAACGCCACTATTTATTTAAATACGTGGCTAATTCTTCAGTCTTATTGTTTATACATTGTCTGTCTCGTATCTTTCTCTTTTTTTTTTTTTTGAAAAACGGAAAACGCAGCCTCAAGAACACCCCAGTAGAACAGCACATAAGGAACCCCAAAAGACACCCCAACGAGATACCCCCAACGAGACACCCCAACGAGACACCCCAACGAGACACCCCAACAATACGCCCCATCTAACCAAACCCCCCACCCCCCTCACCTAAACCCACCCTCTAAACCCGCATGTCCACCAAATAGGGCGCATCCGCCCACGGAGCATCCCATCCCATCTCCTCCTCAAAATCCTCCCGCTCCACCGAAACAGCCTCTGGGCCTCTCATCATCGACGCCGCGCGCAACAAGATCACACGCGCCTGAGCCCGCTGCAAAGCCACACCTATGGCCGCTTTAAGTGATCCAAGCAAGTAAGCCGAGAAACCTTTCCCCGTAGCTCTCGCCGCCCCTTTCGTCTTCGCTACCTCAATCTGCGCGTCGCCCTGTTTCTTAAGCCACCGCCCAAAACTCTCCCCCAGGCAACCTCATGTCTCAGCAATGAGAGGTGTAAACTGCACTCCCCTATGTCGCTGCAGAAGCAATTTGTAGTCCGCCGCCTTCCGCTTTTCCCTCTCTCTAGCGGCAAAACCCACCTTGCGACCAATCTGTCCATGGTGCTGCGCGGACAACGAGATAGGGTCCACCACACTAACCTCCAGCGCATGCTCCTCCCCCTCCCTCAGTCTCCGCACCGCCACATCCACCCTCTTCCCTGGCAGCAACGTGTCGTCTTCCATGGTCACGACCCCACCCGCCCCTTTAGCTATCTTCGCCACCACAAACTTAACCGCGTCGTGTACACGAGAAGGTGCGTACTGGTACTTGCAGCGAAGGGCATGATGCGGGTCAGAGGGATCAGCAAACTCAAACCCACACGCGCACTTGCCGGCGACTATCAGCTGCTGTATGGGGAGGCCTAGGCGCATGGACGCATAGATGCTCCACTCGGCTGCGGTGAAGGTAGCCTCTTCGTGCGAAGGGACGGCGGAGACCCACGCCCCTGCCCCCGGGCCCTGAAGGGATGTCAAACGGGCCAGGGTGGCGTCGTCGTGGGATGGGTGGTGTGTTCTGGGTGGGTGGTGGGTGGTGTGAGAGCGCGCTGACCCCTTTGAGTTATGGCGGATGGTAGAAGGCAAAATCATGACTAATATGATATAATAGCTGGAATCACCAATACAGTGGTGTAGTAGGACAATATATACCACTTTAGTTTTACGAGAAATATGCAAATGGTAACATTAATCGGGCTCAATAACGCGTATGGAAACAATAAACTGAATTTTGAAAGCACCAACTCTAAGAATCCCATGATATAGAGCCATTCCTTCCTAAGGACCAATTTTTATGGGCCCACCGCTAGCCTCTCGCGATGGCGCACACCGTTGCGCATCCCGTAGTGCGCCTCGTGAGTGCTTCCCTGCCTTCAGCCCGTCGCCCACGCGCTAACTGTTGCGGCATCCCATCGTCCGCGCACTACCCGCTACAGCAGCCAACCGCCCATACGATATCTGCTGGTGCAGCCCGTTGCCCATCCTGTCGCGCTGCCGCCCGTCACCTGCCTCGGCGACCGTCCCGCCAGCGAGCTCGCAGGCAAGCGATCCAGCAGACCAGCCGTCGGACCCAGCAACATCTGCCAGCGCCTGTCCGCACCCCGTACGTTATCACCCCGTCTTCACATCCAGAACACACCACCCATCCAGAACACACCACCCATCCAGAACACACCACCCATCCAGAACACACCACCCATCCAGAACACACCACCCATCCAGAACACACCACCCATCCACAACACACCACCCATTTAGAACACACCACCCATCCAGAACACACCACCCATTTAGAACACACCACCCATCCACAACACACCACCCATCCAGAACACACCACCCATCCACAACACACCACCCATCCACAACACACCACCCATCCAGAACACACCACCCATCCACAACACACCGCCCATCCACAACACACCACCCATCCTCAACACACCACCCATCCAGAACACACCACCCATCCAGAACACACCACCCATCCACAACACACCGCCCATCCAGAACACACCGCCCATCCAGAACACACCGCCCATCCAGAACACACCACCCATCCACAACACACCACCCATCCAGAACACACCGCCCATCCACAACACACCACCCATCCAGAACACACCACCCATCCAGAACACACCGCCCATCCACAACACACCACCCATCCAGAACACACCGCCCATCCAGAACACACCACCCATCTAGAACACACCACCCATCCAGAACACACCGCCCATCCAGAACACACCGCCCATCCACAACACACCACCCATCCAGAACACACCGCCCATCCACAACACACCACCCATCCACAACACACCGCCCATCCAGAACACACCGCCCATCCGCAACACACCGCCCATCCGCAACACACCGCCCATCCGCAACACACCGCCCATCCGCAACACACCGCCCATCCGCAACACACCGCCCATCCGCAACACACCGCCCATCCGCAACACACCGCCCATCCGCAACACACCGCCCATCCGCAACACACCGCCCATCCGCAACACACCGCCCATCCGCAACACACCGCCCATCCGCAACACACCGCCCATCCAGAACACACCGCCCATCCGCAACACACCGCCCATCCAGAACACACCGCCCATCCAGAACACACCGCCCATCCAGAACACACCGCCCATCCAGAACACACCACCCATCCAGAACACACCACCCATCCAGAACACACCACCCATCCAGAACACACCACCCATCCAGAACACACCACCCATCCAGAACACACCACCCATCCAGAACACACCACCCATCCAGAACACACCACCCATCCAGAACACACCACCCATCCAGAACACACCACCCATCCAGAACACACCACCCATCCAGAACGCACCACCCATCCAGAACGCACCACCCATCCAGAACGCACCACCCATCCAGAACGCACCACCCATCCAGAACGCACCACCCATCCAGAACGCACCACCCATCCAGAACGCACCACCCATCCAGAACGCACCACCCATCCAGAACGCACCACCCATCCAGAACGCACCACCCATCCAGAACGCACCACCCATCCAGAACCCACCACCCATCCAGAACACACCACCCATCCAGAACACACCACCCATCCAGAACACACCACCCATCCAGAACACACCACCCATCCAGAACACACCACCCATCCAGAACACACCACCCATCCAGAACACACCACCCATCCAGAACACACCACCCATCCACAACACACCACCCATCCACAACACACCATCCATCCACAACACACCACCCATCCACAACACACCACCCATCCAGAAAACACCACCCATCCAGAAAACACCACCCATCCAGAACACACCACCCATCCACAACACACCACCCATCCAGAACACACCACCCATCCAGAACACACCACCCATCCACAACACACCACCCATCGAGAACACACCACCCATCCACAACACACCACCCATCCACAACACACCACCCATCCACAACACACCACCCATCCACAACACACCACCCATCGAGAACACACCACCCATCCACAACACACCACCCATCCACAACACACCACCCATCCACAACACACCACCCATCCACAACACACCACCAAACACATGAAGCAACTCAGCCGGGAGACCACCAGCACCACCACCCACCCTTAACTTCCCACCCACCCATGCTTAACAACTTACCTACCAACCCACATCCACCCACATCCAGTAACCAACAACCACCCACCAACCTACCTAACCACCCACTCACCACCCCTCCCCACACCGCCCAAACAAACCCACCCCACACACCCAGCACAGCACCACCCGGCTAGCACCCAGCCTCGAGCCACCACCCGCCTTCCCGTTTACCCAGCCACAGTGCGCCGACCCTTCATTCAGCCCCCATCCCACCTCTCTTCCATTCAACCACCGCAGGGAAATCAGGCCCCATCCCACAATCTTACTCAACCCACCTTAGAGTAATCAACCCATCTTACCCAACCCATCTCTCTCACTTCAATAAAGGGCATTCAGACCACCCAAAGGAATTCATCCCTTCCTTCTCACCCATACCACCCAAGGGGATTCATCCCTTCCTTCTCACCCATCCCAACCAAGGGGATTCACCCCTTCCTTGTCACCCATCCCACCCAAGGGGATTCACCCCTTCCTTCTCACCCATCCCACCCAAGGGGATTCACCCCTTCCTTCTCACCCATCCCACCCAAGGGGATTCACCCCTTCCTTCTCACCCATCCCACCCAAGGGGATTCACCCCCTCCTTCCTTCTCACCCATCCCACCCAAGGGGATTCACCCCTTCATTCTCACCCACCCCACTCAGGGGAATTCAGACCCCCATCATTGCCCCTCACTCAAATCATCCTGGGGTTTCAGCGCCCACTCACACAAGGGGCTTCACACCCCTTCTCTCTCACTCACCCCGCCCAAGGGGTTCAAGCCCCCTTCTCTCTCACTCACCCACCCAAGGGGTTCAATGCCCCTTCTCTCTCAGTCACCCACCCAAGGGGTTCAAGCCCCCTTCTCTCTCACTCACCCACCCAAGGGGTTCAAGCCCCCATCTCTCTCACTCACCCACCCAAGGGGTTCAAGCCCCCTTCTCTCTCACTCACCCACAAAAGGGGTTCAAGCCCCCTTCTCTCCCACTCACCCACCCAAGGGGTTCAAGCCCCCTTCTCTCTCACTCACCCACCCAAGGGGTTCAAGTCCCCTTCTCTCTCACTCACCCACCCAAGGGGTTCAAGCCCCCTTCTCTCTCAGTCACCCATCCTAGGTGTTCAAGCCCCCTCCTCTCTCACTCACCCACTCAAGGGGATTCAGGCCCTTTCCCTCTCACCCACCCAACCCAAGGGGATTCAGGCCCCTTCCCTCTCACCCACCCAACCCAAGGGGATTCAGGCCCCTTCCCTTTCACCCACCCAACCCAAGGGGATTCAGGCCCCTTCCCTCTCACCCACCTAACCCAAGGGGATTCAGGCCCCTTCCCTCTCACCCACCCGCTCAAGGGGTTTCAAGCCCCTTCTCTCTCACCCACCCAGCCCATCCCCACACTCACCTACCAGCAGTAGGAGCAGCAGACAACCCACTTTCTTAAGGAAACAGCACCCCCAGAGGCGGTGCCTTGTGGGGCAACGTGTGGTAGTGAAAAATTGCTTCCAGCCCAAGACTCAAATCCCACCCTTCACGTAGCCAGAGCTGACACGAACCAGAGCCGCCGGCCGGTCGGCTCTGACGGTGTCCATTAGGCCTTGCACGTCAGATCAGTTACTTGAGCACCGAGTGCCGTGCCGCACAGATTCCACCCACCACACCCCACCACCACAAGACACAACCCCAGGAGATGCTGCCCCTAAGGCAGTGAACTCCCCACTTGCTCCCATGTCCCCACGCACCCACTCACCCCACACTTCACCCCCATGCCTGCTTACCTGTACTCACCTGTACCTACCAGAGCCATGCAGAGCGCCATGATGCTGAGGCTGCTAGGAAGGAGGGGGGATGATTAGGAGGGGGGTGCAGGACTCCACTGTAGTCCAGGCAGGGTGCTGCTGGGAGGGAAGGGAGAAGGGAGAGAGGAGGAGGTGAGTGAGAGGGTTGACTCCACTCTCCTGCGCTTGCTCCAGTGCTCCCACCTTCAGCCTGCAGGGGAGAAGAGAAGGAAGAGAGAGAGGAGGGGATCAGCTCACCTCACCTGCTACCATACCACACCAGTACCCATACCACACCTGTTACCTAACCACACCTGGTACCACCCTCACTCGCAGCTACATCTAGCCTAGTCCCCAGCCCTCACTGCTGCTACTGCTGTTGCTGTTGACACTTTTGCTGCTACTGTTGCTGCCGGTCTGCTACTCTACTACCCCTGCTGCTGCCGCTGCCCCTCCCTCCCCTCCCCTCCGCTGCTTCCCTGCTGCTTCCTTGCTGCTGCTCCATTGCGGCCCTGCTACAACCTTCAATAGTCTGGGAGGGAGAGAAATGGGAGGGAGGCAGGGGAGCAAGGGACAGCAATGAGTGCACGGAGAAGAGCAGGCAGAAGCGAAAAATGGAAGAAGACCAAGAAGCTACAGGAAAGACCACGAAAGGGCGTGAGTGGAAAGTGGCTCACCTTGTTCCAGACGACCCCATCCCGATACTCTCCCATCCCATCCCAGCCGAGTGGAGTGCTGCCCTCCTCCCCTCCCACCACTGCCACCTGCACGGCCACAGGGGAGGGGCGTGAGGGAGCGTCGGTGTTGACCCCACACCCCTCCCGCCACCTGCAATGCGCACACACAGAGCTAGTCAGAGCGCAGTGGTGGGAGCAAGTTGATTGGGAAACTGTGACTTGAAATCCAGCACAAGGGAAGGGAGGAGGAGCCACTGGTGTGGAGGCAAGGCCACAAGCTGCAGACCCATGGGCACCTGATAAAAAACCTGAGGGGTGTACCTGCACCTGAGAGGGTGTCATGCACCTGAGAGGGTGTCATGCACCTGAGAGGGTGTCATGCACCTGAGAGGGTGTCATGCACCTGAGAGGGTGTCATGCACCTGAGAGGGTTACACTGTGGCATGTGAACCGAGCTCAACCAGTGGCAGTGAATCAAAGGGAAGGGCGAAAGCACAACCGGCAAACGAAATGGCAGCAAGAAAGCAAGAAGCCATGATGTGGCGGGCAAGGGTGAAGGCATGGAAGTGGGTGACTTCGCTGATAGCGTGAGGGCGAGCTCAAGGCAGCTGCAGCACCACCAGCTGCCTCCCTCCGCAGAAGCCCTCCTCCAGGTGCCTCCTCCCTGCACGGCCACAGGGGAGGGGCGTGAGGGAGCGTCGGTGTTGACCCCACACCCCTCCCGCCACCTGCAATGCGCACACACAGAGCTAGTCAGAGCGCAGTGGTGGGAGCAAGTTGATTGGGAAACTGTGACTTGAAATCCAGCACAAGGGAAGGGAGGAGGAGCCACTGGTGTGGAGGCAAGGCCACAAGCTGCGGACCCAAGGGCACCTGAAAAAAAACCTGAGGGGTGTACCTGCACCTGAGGGGGTTACCTGAAGAGTGGGGGAATGTGGCATGTGAATGGCGCTCAACCAGTGGCGTTGTTTCAAGAAGACGGTGCAACAGCAGATGAAACGAAAGAAACGGTATGGCAGGCAAGGGTGTGGGCATGGAGGGACGGGTACTTAGATGATTGTGTGGTGCAGGCGGAGGGGTGGCTTCAATGGAGAGTGGGCAGGGCGAGCAGGGACGGACCTGCGAGGCAGAGGAGAAGGGAGAGCGAGATAAAGAGATTGTAAGAGGCAGGTGGGAGGGAGTGACACTTGACGGTGCGTGTGACGCCAACCACAACCCCACAAGAGCAACTACCAACCTGAACCTGAACCTGCACCTGAACCTGCACCTGAACCTGAACCTGAGGGGGAGTGGGCTCGAGTGGAGTGTGGTGGCAGGGGCGATACTGCAACCTCAACCGTTGATGAGGCCGGCGCTGCTGCCCCGCTGCCCGCGCTCCTGCTGCCCGCCCTGGTGCTCCCCTCGCCTGCTGCTCGCCTGCTGCCGCCCCCCTGGCTTGTGAAGGCCTGGCAGGGAAGGGAGGGGAGGGCAGGGAGGGCAGGGCGGAAAGGAAAGGCAGCCGAAAGTAAGAGGGGTTGCAATGGAGAAAAGTGTCAAACACACGGGCAACAGCAGAAACAACAGTGCATCCGTGACGCCAACCACAACCCCACAAGAGCCGCTACCAACCCGAACCTGCACCTGAACCTGAACCTGAGGGGGAGTGGGCTGGAGTGGAGTGTGGTGGCAGGGGCGATACTGCAGCCTCAACCGTTGATGAGGCCGGCGCTGCTGCCCCGCTGCCCGTGCTCCTGCTGCCCGCCCTGGTGCTCCCCTCGCCTGCTGCTCGCCTGCTGCCGCCCCCGTGGCTTGTGAAGGCCTGGCAGGGAAGGGAGGGGAGGGGAGGGAGGGCGGAAAGGAAAGGTGAATGTTGAGTGAGGCGGGTGTGAGAAGCAGCACGTTGAGGAAGAAACTAGGCGAGTTTGTGGTGGGACGAGGTGGGGAGGGAATGTCGTCTAAAAAATTGTGGGGGGGCCCAACTCACCCCCAATGCAGGTTACCTCGGGGCTACCTACACCAAATTCGCCAAAACTCGACTTGAACAAGACCCGAAGTCATAACATCGCTGTGAAGTGAACCGCAGACTTGCCTCTGGCTTCAAATTATCCAACCGCCATCAGGCGAAAACACTTTTCGTACTTGCGAAAACTCGCCCACGGAAACTAGCAGATATATTTTTACTACGCAAAAGTCCAATCCAACCACATCACCAATGCAACTTGTCCAGCACAGCACTGGCGTGACTGATATTTTCTTGCACCCTCGCTGGACTTCTTGGTCAAATAAAAAACATCGCTTCCAGTCCATATACAGTATCCACACAGGCAGGTTTGGGCAGGTTGCTTGCGTGGGTTGATTGCCAGTTGACACAGGATGACACAGTGTGCAATATCTGCACGCCACGTCGCAGAACTTGACGTTTGGTCGAATCGTTTAACACCACGTCCCCACCCCACCCCATCTCTCTCGCCTGTTCCAACCGTACCTTCGTCCCCATTTCCCCCTTCAAGAGTCTTGCTGTTCGTTTCTTGTGTCATTTCTTGTCTTTCATGGGCGTGGCAAGGACGACAAGCCATGCAAGTCCCAGCGCTGACCGCAGCAAGCGGCGCTTGTGACGCTCACGCACCATGAATGCATGGCCGTGTGATTCGGCCGAACAATTCCCCCGCATGGCTAGATAACGCACTACTAGTACTAGTTACTAACTAGTAAATTCTTAAGGAGTCCTTAAAAACCGGTCCGTGGCAAAACCTTCAGCAGCTACTAGGAATGCTGGTTTCTAGATACTAGTGAAGGTGGTTTGTTTGAAAGGTGGAGACGACTAGGGAACCAGGGACAGAATGGCGTTGTCGGCCAACGCCCGGCGAACTGCCACCTCACAGCGAGAAACCTAACCAAACCACTATTCCGTGCCTTCTTGGGTTTCCGGAAATCAGCTCAGTGCTGTCTGCGTCTGCGCTGCTCTGCGCGCGCGGCACGTGCTGTCTGCGCTGTACAGTCGGTGCCCATTACGAGAACACCAGGTAGGCGGGCGGCATGTGCGTGAAACGTGTTTTAGGTACTTCGCCACATTCGCCCTTGTCGCCACGGGAAAAAATGTGACTGTAATATGAAATTGCAATGTGAATCGAGTCTATGGCTTTAATTTCGTAACCGTATAAACATTTCTGATGACGGGCAACCGTTGTTGTTTATGTACTGTAGATGTGTTTCTTCCGCAACTTGGTGACTGTACCCCGAAATCAGCACAATGGTCAATTTAGTCGCTCACGGGCAAAACGTTCGCGAGTGACAATTTCTAATTGTGATGAGCAAATTGTTTGTGATAGTCTGAGCATCAACTGTACATGCGTTGACATGATGCGTGGTGTCCCTCCTGGTGTGCCGGGCGCCGTTGTCGTTCCTGCGCCGCGCTTGAACTGTACTGTACACCTGTTACCAGGCGCAGGGCTCCCCACGTCCCACATATTTTCCGATTTTAGTACGAACTCTCTGGCTTTAGACTGAATACGCGCCCAAAAAGCTCACCAAACAAAGTCAACGGCCCCGGCTCCCTGCCGAGTTTTTGTGCCGAGTAGCGACTTTTTGTGCCCGGGTTTAGGGGTCTCGGTACAGTAGTGCAACGGGGTCCAATCCCCCTTCACACAGGCTGGCGGCGGCTGCACTGAACCGCCTGGAACCGAGCTCGTCCGCCTATCGAGGGGCAATAAGCAGGCTCACCCAGCTTCCGCCTGCACGCAGGTGTGGGGAGCACCTGACTCAGCAGCAGGGGTTGCCCGCGCCCGGAAAAAACTTCCGCGATGCAAGAAAGAAGAAACACAGCATACAGGGTAGAAGTTATCATTAGGGATCCAATCAAATACAAATGCTTTCATAA